ACCAGATTGGTGATTGCATTAAACACAGCAGCAGGAAGAAGACTAAGAACGAAGGCAAATGGAAGACAGAAATATTGTAGGACTCCCTGGAAAAGTAAAAAAGAGAGAGCCAGCCACAACACTTCCCAAAGGAAGAAGCTACCTGTTGTTAACATCCTACCATGATGACCTGTGGCATCTCCAAGTTTTAGCCTGTGAGAGAAACTTATCAATGTAGAATCTGCTTACTGACCTTTGAAGCTGTTGGTATACTGCAGATGATTTCTTTAAAACCATCCCCAGATTTCATTTGTTCTCATCTCCAGTATATCCACTTGGAGGTGTTAATGTGTCATTGATTATTATCTGGTCTTCATGTAGCCCACAGCTACATGAAGACCAGATTGGAAAGGAGGACAAATTGGGGCGGGGGGGGGGGAGGGGGACACACTGTTTAACTTTCCTGGCATCCACAACAAAAATTACAGTGAAAATTTGCCAAAAAGCAAAAATGTACTTAGGCCTCCATGTATATGAAATTACTTTTTCCAGCATCAGAAAGATTGGTGTTTCAATGGCAGGACTAGAACTGGTTAGAAGACAAAAACCTTAATCTTGGCAATTTCAAGCTAGCAGGCTGGAGGGTACTAGTCAATTGATTAAGGTCACAGAGTAGAGCTTGCTAACTTGCAGGTAGCGCTCATGAGGGAAGCGCAGCGTCACAGAGAGAGGCTGCTCAGCAAGAGATACTCAGAAAGCCTGACAATATTTGATTTTAAGGCTACGCCTGCTGGTACCCTTTTGCCAGAGCTCTGGTAACCCTCGGTGAACACAAAGACTGCCCTACTCTTAAACTAAAGACTGCCCTCAATCTGAGAGCAGGCTTTCCCCAAAACCTTAAGTGGCTTCTTCCCAGATTTGTGCACCTTTCTTTAAGTCAACTGGCATCATGGGCGTGCCTCTACCCAGCTTGGGGCTTCTGCAGGCTCAATCTCCTCCCCATTCCCCAAAATTCAAACACAAGAAAAGCCACCTCTTGGTTGTCAATAGTGAACACTTTTACTACTAATAATACTAATAAGCAGCTTCATAGAAACCCCCTTGAACAGTGCCGTAGAGTAAATGGCTTAAATCAGACCACAAATCACAAATCAATAGCGATCAATGTCTTATCACTCAAGCTGGGGCTCCAGCTGTGGAGCCTCCTTCCCTTCTGATGGCTGAGCTACCAGCCTTTCTCAGAAGGGCCTTTGGCAGTATCCAAGGACAGCTTTAAGCTGATTAAACCGGCTGAGCCCTGGGACTGCTCCTCCCTTGCTGGGTTCCACCCGGTCTTGATCTGTACTTCCTGCCTCTGCTGCTTTCCACTATCTGCATCACCAGGTCTGCTTCAGGGCTCCTCTGGCCATGATCTCCACGGGTTCTGCCAGCTTCTGTCTCCATTGGCCCATTTGTGGCCAATGGAAACTTCTCCTGCTTCTGACCCTCATTTCTTCAGAGAAAGAAGTCCTGGTTGGGCAGATCCTGAAGAAGAAAACTCCTTTGCTTTTCCCCCTGTGCCTCTTTGTTTTCTCCTTGGTTATTTCTCCTTTTCTCCTACTGTAGGGAGGGAAGAGACCTCCTCACTTTTCTCCAGATTGCAGGAGGAGAGTTGTGTTAGTCTACAATAGCCAAAACTCAAAAGGGGTCTAGTAGCACCTTTTCTGACTAACATGTTTTATTAAAGCTTTAGGGAGGAGCAACTCATGTCATCAAGTGCATCTGATGAAGCTTATGCCTTTTAATGCAGTCTGTTGGAGTGAGCTGTGGCTCCCAAAAGTTAATGCCTTTTAATAAAATTGGGGGGGGGGTTCCTCTTTATATTGTTTTATCGTATTATTATAAAACACAAGTAATAAAATATTTGGGTTCAGTGGTATTTATACAATGTTGACTGGAGATTCTTAATACTGTTTAGATAATGTTTAGATAACTTAAACCTTTAAAGATAAAGAAAAAAAGAAGTTTATGTCAATATTTATGTCAATCTTAACTATGATTTATAAAATATTAATGTTAATAAGCATAAGGTTGTTTACATTTTCATTCCAAAGCTGAATGCAGCAGTGATAAACAGCTGCAAAATACATTAAATTATTTGTTATATAATAAAGGTTTCTATCTTTATGCTCAATGCTTAATACTGAGGTCTCCACTGTATTGTTACTTGTTATTGTTAAGAATATTTTTAAAAAAGAAACAACAAATAAGCAACAACAAAAAGGAAAGTTAAAAAAGCTGTTTGACTTCTAACTTCCCCCTTCCTGTGCCTCTACCAATCTGCGGTGTTTATAAGCATTTAGACCCCCTAGAAACCATAGGGTAAGTCCTTACATTTGTCCTGCTGTGTAATATATTGTATATATGCAAACCATTCTTGCTTAATGAATAAATTTATTAGCTGGGAAAAGTGCTATCAGACTCCTTCTGATCTCCAAATTCTTGCAAATTCTTTTCCTCTCTTTAGTCTTTTTCTTGAGCTCTCGGGCTTCTTTAAACTGCTTTCTCTAAGCTTCCTTTTTTTCTGCTTCTTCACTAAGGCACCTCTTCTCTTTCTGGCTAAATCTCTGCTCTGCGCCCTGTATCTGCTGTAGATTTTACACAGCTCAGCTCTACTGCTTTTCTACTATTTAACTCACTCTTCCCTCTTTCCTTTTCTGCTTTAGCTCTCATTTCCCTAAAGTTTCAACCACCCTCCCCCCCCCCCCCCCCAGCTAGCTTTGGGTCAAGGATGTCCTCAAGGGGTCAAAAAAGTAAAAATAGTGGCCAAAACTATGCAATCAAAACTCTGGCCCTTGCTCCCCCCTCCCACAAACACCCTTGTTTGATGTCTTTAATCTACCTGCTGCCTCTCTAATTATAGTAAGGAATCTATCTGTTTAGTTTGCCCCATCGCTGGGTGTCCAATTTTTCCAATTCCTTTACAAATTAACAAGCTTCTTGCAGTTTGCTATAGATTATCTTTGCATCAAACTTTAGATGGCCTGGGGTCTATCTAGAAATCCCAGGAGTTAACAATCCTAACACTTTAAGAAGGTATCAGCCTGGGGAAAATTGCTTTCATCCAAACACTCTTTTGTCAGACTCAGCCCTCCATCAACAAATTGCAGATGATGATGCTGACTTAGGTAAAGACTATGATAGAGTGTAATTTACAAGTAGTCAGTTAACAACTGCCCTGTTTAGCGACCATTCCAACTTAGGACTGTGCTGAAAAAGTAGGTTTATGACCAGTCCTTGTACTTACGACAGTTGCAACGTCCCCGCAGTCACATGATCGTGATTCAGGCACTTGGCAACCAGCATGCATTTATGACAGTTGCAGCCTCCCACGGTCATGCAATCGCCATTTGCAACTTTCACAGCTGGCTTCCAACAAGCAAAGTCAAAGGGGAAGCCGGCAGGAAGTCACAAGTTGCAGTCACATGACATTGCATTTAATGACCGCAGAAGATTTGCTTACAAACTGATGTAAGTCAGATACAGTCACATAATGTTTCACCTAACAACCACTTCACTTAGCAACGGAGTTGCTGGTCCCAATTGTGGTTGTTAAGTGAGGGCTACCTGTATAGATGAAAGAGTTTGGGCTCTTGATATGGATCAGAGTAAATATTTGGTAGCCTTAACCATCTGCATTTTGAGTCCCACTCACCAGTTAGAAACACGTTTATGGGAGAGGAAACCAGAGCTCAGGAGCACAAGATACACTTTGCAGAAGATTTCTGATTTTTCCAGTGAAACTCTCTCAAGCAGGAGACGTCTCAGAGGGATCTCTGCCAGAGAGCAGCTGCAATTCAAGTTGATGGCTTGTGTGATAAATTGCAAGGCTCAGTTATAGAGGCAACTTCCTAAACTCACATGAAAATTCAGACAATGCTGTTCACATAATGTTGGGGAATTCTCTAGCATGTTTTTGCCTTGTCCCACAGCTCCTGTAATGGTGATGCTAGTGGGATATGAGAAAAGTAAGCACGATAAGCCCAAATAAATAGCTCATCTCTGCTCATTTTCTCACTGCTAGATCCCAATGGTTACTTAAAGGAAGCAATTTTTCACATATCAACTGTGATCAAATCAAACACTGGAAGTTAAAATAAAGCTGCACAGTTTAGCATGTTTCCTTGAAAACCAGCCTTCAGGGAAATATATTTAGGAACATTTCTTTTTCAGAAATTCATAAAGCTTCCATTTCTTCACTCTGCCAAAAACGTATGGTAGAGTTTCTTCCCAACCACTATTATTATTTCTTATGCCAATTTAGTTTTTCTGTTGCTAAAAAGCTCCTGGCAAGTACTTGAAGCACCAGTTCTGATCCTATTTTTTTCAGCTTATTTTTAGAAAACCAAGCCATATCATTTTCTGATTCTTCTTAGTGAGCTTAATAGGCTAAGTCATGCAATGCCAACATCACTTTAAAAAGTTAACTTTGTGTGGCTGTAGTTTGAAAATGCTGTTTCAGAGGTCCGTTCTAACCTTTCAAAGGTTACATGAAATCTCAGAATCTTACAGTGGCTAATATCAGGGCTGGCTTTGCTATGAACTTTCATTTCCCCACATCATCTTTATGTCCCTCCTAAAAAATTAGTTTTCTCTTTTGTTCCTCTAAACACTATTAGGTCATGTTATTCAAATTATGACATGTCTTTAATTGTATCTTTTATATTGATCACTAGAAGGCACTATGGGACCAGTTCTGTCCTATTTAGGACTCATCAGGCATAAATACCCAGATGTTATTCTATGAAGTTCAAACCATTCTGGTTACCTACAACTGATGAGTCCGAATAGGACAAAACTGGTCATATGCTGTGTAAAATTGGAGAAATTCCCCCGTCCCTGGGAAGGGGGAAGTCATGTATAACCCTGTACACAGGGGCATGACATAATGCATACCATCTATATTTCTCTAATATGAGCTTGTGGGAAGGTGGACTGTATATACCATTCTGATAGACTGGTTATTTCTTGTTATTTTCCAGGCTTGAATCCCAAATGACAACTGACATTCAAACCATCTTACAGCTGTTGCAGAGACAGTCCACTCTCATCCCACCTGCTTATAGCATGGTGATGGCAACTGCAGATTATCAGAAGCCAGCCGTCCGGATACTGCGACGTCTTCATCCCATCGCATCCATTAAAACAGATCGAAGCTTCAGTCCTTCACAGGTAGGCATTTCTGAAGGGGCATGTCAGTGGTTCTACATAATTTAAAGCTTTATCTTTTTGCGGGAAAGAGGGAGTTCTTCATACAACATCCGTATGAGAAAAGGAGTCCAATGGGATTAGACCAGAGACCTCTGTAGTCTAGGAGCCTACACTGGCAAATTCCTCCAGAAGGTACACAAGCTGGGTTTGAAGGCAAGAGTCATCACTTGGTTGTAAAAGAAATAGTACCTGCAAAGTGAAGGCCTCTTTGATTAGCAGATATCAGTGGCCTTTTCATCCATGCAGTTGCTTGAATTCATGCCCTGGGGCCATCGAATGCTGAACTCTGTGTGGCCTAATCCCTGCCCCTCTGCTTAGCTTGCCTCCACGTGATCTGGAAGAAGGAGCTCTTCATTCAGCTACAAAGGTGGCAGCCGAAGGTGCCCTGGGGAAGAGGTCAACCTCAATGTCATAGGTATTATTTGGATTGCATTGATGTATTTCAGTTGTTCAGAGATACAGTGGATTGCTTAATATGTAAAGCACCTATATTAACATCTGTATAGAATAGAAATCTTTATTGTCATTGTACAACTTGTACAAAGAAATTAATGCCACCCCAGTGCAGCTTTAAAAATATAAAAACCATAAAACACATAAAACACATAACACTGTATCTTATTTCAGCACTGCTGTTTTTTAAACACATTATCTAGTAGTGTTATACTGTAAACTTTTTTGTAATGTTCTGAACTGCTTTTCATGGCAATCCTGGCAAATACCGCAGGGGCATCTTTTTGTTGTGTTTTCTCAGGGTCCCAAATTCTTGGATCTTGAAAAATTGAAACAGAAATCCAAAGAATCCCTCTCAAGCGGAGAGCGCCTTCCCATGGCCTCAGAAGATAACCTGGCCTCCCTTTTGGAACAGGAGCACGCCCGCTCTTTAGAGCCCACCCCACCCCGCCGTAAGACTTACCTCCACCCAAACAGGCACCCATCCTTGCCTGGTTCCCCCCTAAGCACAACAGGAATGTTGGGTCTTCATAGGCATGTCTCCGATCCTGGTCTTCCTGGGAAATGACCCTTTTGCATTCTTACATCACCTAAAATGTAAGTGCTTTTAACGTCTGGGGTTTTCTCTTTCTCTTTCTCTTTCTTTTCTTTTTCTATCAAAATCTCAATACTTGACTCAGGGGCTACAAGGATATACCATTATATGCAAAAGTACTGTATATTTTCCTATCTTTGAAGCTTGTAAGGAAAGTTAATCAGTAACCATGTAAATATATAAATATATAGATATATACATATATAAACAAACAGTATGTTGCAAATATAAAACTGCCAGCATTCTCAAAGGCACCTTCTATTTTTTAATTTTTTAAAAAGCACCTGCATGCTTGGAAATGATTATGGTTCTGTTGCATGGAGGTTCCTATTTACTCTTTTCAATGAAATCCTATTTTATTGCGGACATGCCTTCAAAAAAAGGTAATAATGGCCCAAAACAAAAACGCCTTGCTTTTCTTGAACTACTCTACCTTCAAACAATTTTTTTCTTCTAGTTTATCTAGTTTATCTCTTTGGAAAACAAGACAATTACCCTTCTGGCATTAAGCATTTTACAGTCAAAGCAACCTTCTTTGGCTTTGAACATAAGAAACACATAGATTTTCTACAGACACTTTGTGGTTTGGACATCATTCATGTAAAACCCAATTAGTAAAACACAAATACATTTTGGAAAAAGGAAAAAAAACCTGTAACTGGGCCGCATAATGGAAAGCAACATTTGTGACTTCGGTTTACAATAGTCAAATCATTTAATGTTCTAATTTCTTTTTCTTTACTAAAATTTCATCATTGCTATAAGTTGCCACACTCAAAGGCAGCTAGTTGTTAAGACCCTTAAACACAAACAATGCAATAAACATAATTTCTACATAAACTAGAAAGCTTTGTCTTTTTTTCAGTTGAATGGAAGCAATTGTTAAAAAGCTGAGAACTAAAAATAGTTTCTTTTCACTGTAATCCTTTGAAATCTCTTTCTACCCTCTAACCCCAATATGCCTCAACACACTGAGCTGCCAGCTTGAGGGCATTCCGATATAAGCACACCATAGAATCTTTTCATATAACCTTTCGCATGTCTGTAATTCTTTCAATAAGTAACATCAACTTGATGGGCTTGATCAATTTTCTCATGGGTGCAGTGCCCACTGAGGGCACATTATGCATGCACAGCAATCTGGGTCATTACAGAAACAAGAAAATCCAGATATATCTGCCGTATTTCACTAGAGTTCTGAGAAGAGGCAGCATATGCGTAATTGTAAATGAATGAATGGATCCATCTCTAGCCAGCCAGCTCTCTGGACAATGTGTTACGAAGGATCCAGCAAGGGTAGAGTATGTAGACACTGATGGTAGGAGGAGCAGACTTCCTAGAGAGGTCTGGTATCAGAATCTAAATTTGTAATTAGAACATTTATATCCTAAGCAGATCTTTCCTAGACTTAGCACAGAGACCCTGCAGTACTTGAGGGGAGGGGGACTCTCAAACTGCCCTGCTTGAGAACCTCTCCTGGAGAGACGGAGCTAGTGGAACATGGAAAAACCCTGTAAAGATACACGTGTGGAATATGTTTAGCCAGTTTGGTCTGATGATGAAAACAGCAGGCTAGAAAGCAGGAGACTGGGAGTTCCAGTCCCGCCTTAGGCTGGGTGACTTTGGGCCAGTCCCTCTCTCTCAGCCCAACTCATCTCACAGGGTGGTTGTTGTGGGGAAAATTGGAGGAGGAAGGAGTATTAGGTATGTTCACTGTCTTCAGTTTTTTATAAAAATAATAAAGGTGGGATAAAAACAATATAAATAAAAAATTTAAAAATAGATGGATGATGAGAGAGATGAGAGAGCGAGCAAGAAAGATGATAAACAGATATGCGTAAATGCAGAGGTAGTTTTTTATTTGTAATAGATTCCCACCTCTACATACAAAACAACCCCCCTAATTGTGAGTGTGTTTGTGGCTGTGGCTGTTTGTAGGAGAGAGAGAGAAAAAGAGAAATGATTTGAAATAACTGAATAGCAGAGTGACTAATGAAGTAAAAATAAAAAGTTTTAAAATGAAATATTTGACTTCTATTTTCTTCAGCTGCTCTGATGTCAATAAAAAAAAATGTTCTCATCTATGTAGCAGTTAATGTAACACTGAAAAATACTCCAAACGTGCACACATGCAATATACTAAATCTATTTGCTTCTCATTGTAAATTTTATTACAAACCAAGTAACATTACCCAGTGTCCAAAGCTGACACCACAAGAATAAGTATTTCAATACAGTGTGTACTATATACATAGAATGCTTTGAAGATAGTTAATTTTAACCTCATTAAAATATTCTGCCTGAAAAGTTGTGTTTCTTTTAGAAGGGACTTGAGTATCTAACAGAAAATTGTCACATGGTTTTCTAAACTTAAAAACTCTGAGGTGGCAGTTTAGAAATGAAGCAAATCAGCTGATTTCCTTAGGTCAATTAACGAAGGCAAGGTAAGCATCAAACAATTATCCTTTATCATATTGAAACATATGAACAGTTTTTTCCAACTTTTCTATGGACTAATGCTGGAGCATTTTAAATGAAATCCATTGAATGAAATGGACACTGGTTGAGTTCACACAACCTGGTGACCTAGGTTGCTGAATTAACCCAGGGAACGAAAGACTACAATGGAAGACTAGCATCATACTTCACACAGTTGCTCTCAATTTCACAGAAGGATTATGCTTTTGTAGCCCCAAAAGAATTGCTCATCAAAGCTGATTGTACGTGTTCCCCAGGACTAAAGCCACAAATCATTTTAGATTTTCAAAGGAGCCTAACAAGTAGGCCTTTTATTTACACAGTTCAAAAGTAAATTGATATAAAAATTGTGCTCTGGAACTTTTAAATCAATACCTACAAATGTACCACTTCACCTGCATTACCGCAAGAATCAGCTGTCTCTTTCAAATAGCATCAGCAAGGGGTAAGGCTATCATCTGCATGACCCACTAGAGGATCAAGGCACTATCAAATGGTGTGACTGTGTAGAAACATGGGAGCAACTGGTACCCTCCCCACTGCTTCATCTGCATTCTTCTTCCATGCCCCTTACCAGTATCAGATCCCTGTTGCTTTCCTGAGTGGTTCTGCCCCAGGTCTCTGTCTCATACGTACTCCTACCACATTTACTTTGTCTAGGCTTTTTCCTCTTCATGAATGGTTTGTTGCCAGTCCCATGCAAAGCCACAGGTGAGTATCTGAGAAGGTTCAGATCCAGGACTTTCTGATGTCATCAAGGCACTTCTAGCCCTCTACTTATTTGGTGGGAGGAACATAGAAAGCCATCTCATATTGGGTCAAGGGGGTGGCCTATGTAGGTCAAATGGGGACATAGAAAGCCTCTGAAAGATCCTAAAGATTTACGTGAACTCTCCAAAGCACAGCAAAAGATTGCCAGCAAATTGTGGCTTGCTGTGACCTAAAACATAAATCTTTTAAACACATGACAAGTAATCACTAGTTAATTAAAGTAATTTTTTAATTGAAGTGAAAGCCAGGCACATGGTTCCATCTCCTGACACATCACCTCAAAGGCCACAGGTAGTATCAAATGATTGACCGGTTTTCCAAGGCTTCACCCCCAACCCCCCAGCAATTCCCGTTTATACTGAGCCACGGCCTTCCCATTTTGCTGTGATTTTCCATGGCTTCCATTTAGAAAAAAGAAATTATAGAAGCTTACTACCTGAAAAAAAAATCTTACACTCCCTAATCTATCCTCCTGTCCCTCTCCCTTTTTTAATAACTTTTTGGCCTAGCCTGTAGAAACAGCCCCAACAATTATTCTGAGGCAAGTTAATGAGGAGCTTGATAGCAGCCTGTAATTGGTGTTTGCAATTATATCATCAGAACTGCTTAGCTTGCTAACTTGGTATTTTCCACCAGACAGAAAGTGGTGCAGGTAACCAGCAAACCAGCCACAGCCTTCATAAATGTATTGCCATGTGTATTCTCCAATGCCACTTGTTACAAATTAGAAGTGGGAAGTAATGTAAACTTCCCAGGCAAATCCCTTTGAGAGGTTTTCCTATAAAGCAGGAAGGACTGTACAAACTTTGTTCCAGTCCAGGAAAACAAGGATAGCTATGCAATCATGCAGTTCTACACACTGATAAGGTGGTCATGAAAAATTTGCTATTAAACCAGTGAAAGCAATTGTTAGATGTAAAAAGGAGCTTATTGGGAAAAGAGGAATACAAGCAAAAATAAGGAAGGGCAGGAATCACACATACAGAACTCAATAATCAGTCTAGTTTCTTCTCATCTGCTAATTATGCTCTTGGGTTTCAGCACATGTTCACAGCTCACTGCAGAGAGAATTGTTGGAGAGATCACCTTGGCCGCCTGGTTAGAAGTAGTTAGGCAAACCCTCTTTGTTCCTCCTCCTTTTTCTTTTCAGCCTAATTCTCCATATTATACAATTATTGTGTTGCTTTGTCCAACAAAGCAAGATATTCTATTGCTGATGTCATGAGTCTTGCCAACAATTTAGGAAAGTTAATTTAGAAAAGCAAGATGAACGTACCTTCATAATGACCTAGTGATGGAATCATAAGACAGCTGACTAGTTTTTTCCAAATGTTCCATTGTATAAAAGAGCTTGTCTGGAAGAAGCTTTTATGGGGAAAAAATTAATTGGCTATTCAGGCCTTGCAGCATGGGGTCAACTTACCAGATGCTTTATGTGACACTATTAAGTCATAACAAAATCTAGATCATTGTTACAAAGTGAATGGATCCAACCTATCAACAATGGGATTCTTTATTCTTCTTGTTGCCTTTGTTTTAAGCTCTTCCCAATTTGAATTATCAGGGAATATTCTACTTTTGTTTTATGAGGATCTCTAATCTATACTTCTTCAAAGCTGTGTTTACAACTCAGAAATTATTCAGCAGCTTTTAACAGTGCCTCTACAGAGATTGCTGCTGCAGGCTTTCCTCATCTGTTCCTTCCTTAGAATTGGTATCAGCCTTCCTTCTCTATCTGGTGAACAGGACTTAGGCTTTGCTCTACATCAAATGGAAATGAAATGTTGTGGATGGGACTTTGCAAAGAATTACCATACCCCTGGAAGAAGGCAGATCTTCAAATGTGGAGAAAAGTGGGAGGCAGACTCCCCAGATTTTGAGTTGTAGCAGCCCTGACCCTACAAGACCAATTCCTGCCTTGCCAGAGCCTTCCACCTCAGACCCTCTGGGTGTCTGCTTGGACCAAGTTACTCAGATCCTGATCTGGAATGAAACCACCCTGCTTTGGGAGAAACAGACTCAGAATACAAGATCAGAAGGCTGCACAATGCAGGAGTGCCAGGATGTCTCAGGCGGCTGTAAATCTTGGCAGGACAGCAGATTGGCTGCTTGGAGTTATTTAAATCCTGAGGCAGGTTGCTGGAAACAACTCTACTTTGCTTTGCCCTGGTGAGTGTGGTCCTCTAGAGCCTTAGTCTGTTATTTGATCATGCATCTAGTTTGGTGTTTTGTCTGAGTTACTTGTGATTTCTGCTGCAGCCTGTGATTGACTATAGTATCCAAAAACAAACCTGAGTGATTCCCCTCTCTTTCATTCTTTAGATGCATCAGCTTGTCTCACTAAGCTTACTATGATATTTAGTTGGATAATTACCCTTAATAGTCAGGCTACATTAAGCAAATATACTAACTCTGCTGCTACTAACAACCCTTTAGTAGCAGCATAGTAAAGTTAGAATTTCTGCTCCATGTACTGGTAAAAGTGAAAGCTCCAGGTTGAAGATTAACAGTCCAACATGATCTATGCAAAAGGAGATAGTTGGCCTTATCACAAGCTACTGCATTAATACAGCATGCAATGCTTTAAATTTATTCTTTAAAATGAAATATGGTATCTGGGACCTTCCAGATGTTGCAGAATTGTCCAGCCTGCATGGCCTATGGTAAAGGATGCTTGGAGTTGCAGTTTCATAGTATTGGGATGATCAGTTTCATGAACATTGATTTAAAATGTATGTAGTTATAGGAGGGTTAGTTTGGTGGAACAATGTATGGCATATGGGGTGCATTAGGAATCCAGGGAAAATTACGGAGCCCAATTTTGATCAGTCCCAGCAAGCATATCTACTGTCAAGGATGGTAGAAGCTATAATCCAACAATATCTGAAAAGACATAGGTTGCCTATGCATGCACGATTCTTCTGCAAAATCAAGAGCAGCCATTTAGAATTTGAAAGAAATGTCCCTACTTTAAACATGATCCCTACAATACTTAAATTTTCCAGAGAGCTGTAAAGTTTTGACCTTTAAATGGCCCATAAGAGCAAAGGAGACTGACAAGAGTTCACATCACCTTAACAGAAAATATGGTTTTACTTCTGGCTTACGTGCTGAGTGAACATCACTATAGTGTACAAGTGATCCTAATTTAGGATTAACCTAGGCACTGTAACTTATTCACCAAACCTTGATTATAATGAACAGTGTGGCAGGTGGTAGAGACACCAAGGGGGTAAGAGGAGGAGGAACTGGCAAATACCATCCTCCAGTGACAAAATATCAGGAGCCTGGGCTTGCCATCAGAAAAACTCCAAAAGTGCAGGGAAGGGATGGGACTTCATGTAATCCCACCACCTCATACACCGAACCTTAGGTCAAGCCGTCTTCCATTTGCACTCTCCCCTATTTACCCATTTTTAGCTCTATCTTTTTTTCCTCCCCCCCCCAAGTCTTCACTTGCATTTTTACATTATGCTGGTTGATTCGCAGCATTCACTATTTAATCCTTACAATCTCATCAAAAAAATGTAAATAAGCATACAGTATGGACCCTGCTAAATCGTCTTTTTTTTCCACTGGGGATAGTTATTGTTAAAAATTGCCTTAGTCACTAAGGCAGCCTACACATAAGAGGAGAAACAGGAACATTTGTAACTAAGAATTGTGAGAAAGACAGCCCGTATTCTCCCCATCCATGCTAAAATTCCACACCCATGGATGGAAAGTGCAGGATTCAAGAGCACTGCATGCCCGTTTTTTTTTCTCACCGTTATCAAATCTATTGCATCCATCTACACCTACATCTCATCTTCCAGGCTGGAAAACTAAAACATTGATCTCGTCGAGCCTGTAGGATTACTGTAGCACTCCAGAGTACCATCTCAGATTAACTTATTGTTAGTAATGAAAAAAATACAAAGCAAGCTCCAACTTTATTTCCAAACAATTGCCTAGAATGGCACCGAAAATAGAACAAGAACATTTTTACAGTTAGAACAGTATCCATTTCAAAAGGTACAAAAATCTCTATAGAAGATTGCAAATAATCTACAGCTATTACTTGACAATGGTGAACACAAGATATGCACGTGAGTAGTGTCAATGATTTCAGAACTTTGATTTGATACCACCACTATGAGTTACGGGAACTCACAGATAACACAAAGCCATTGTTAAAAGGAGATAAGTATAGTGGCATGATTATATAGGGAGATGCAGAATGACACAAATAACTGAAATGTTTTACAGATGCATTATTGATTTCAGACTAAAAACTATCTTTCTTAGCAAGAGCGAAGCTTACTGCGATATTCAAGCAAAACGACTTCTTACATTTCAGGTGTGATACTGAACTCTGATGTAATGCAAATATATCCTCTTCTTACCAAGTGCTCAGCCTGTGCAGCTGCATCATGCTATTCAATATACCAAGAAATGGCAGCACGGGGAGCACTGCGTAACAAATGCACCCGCTGGCTAGGTTAATCATGAAGCGCCCCCCCCCCTCCTCCCCGGCAGCAGAACCTACCCAACAGCTCACTATAGCAAAGCTTTTATGCTTTATCCACAATGTATAATGAGATGCCTGAGCAGGAGGAAAATGTTTCTATCTGCAGAACATGGGAATAACCAAGCTAGAAAGCCAAGACCATTACCTACAGTGCTAGCCTAATCTTGACGTTCATTGCAATGTACAAATTATAAAGAGATAGAAAACAGCAGCAGCTGAATTTTAAAAACATAAAGGAATGATTTGCTACAGGCCGAGTTTATCTAATACTACTTGCAGAGTGGTTACTGCTGGGGGAGAGGGAGAGATCTGCTGATGCTGTTAAACTGGCAATATGAGGAGGTGCTTCGCTTTAACAGCTTCCCACATCCCTGATTCTATTTTCAGGCAGTAACCACCGTACAGTAAAGCATAGGGGAGCATCAACTCAGGCATTTGTTCCCTGGATTCTTCACCTGCTCTTGGAATTCTAGGAGATAATGATGAGCCAAGTTCAATCCCCCTTCCCCCCTCCTTTTACCTTTCTAGAAGCCTTAGAGATCGAGGTTTTGTGGGGAAAATGACAACTCCATTCTACATAAATTCTTCTGAAGATTATGTCAAGAGGATAAACCACTTGGAAAAGTATGCTTCACTACCATAAAATATAATCTTCACTATGAACATGTTCTTCTAGTTTACATTCAAATTATTTACCAAACATTCAGAAGAAATATACAAATGTTTATACATACTTTTGATAGCCACTGATTCATGGCTTCCTGGTTTCTTATGCATTTATGATTTCAAAAGATGCAGCCTACCCTGTTTATAATCGTTACATGAAATGTGATTGTTTCCTTTTATCCATCCTAAGAGCATAACCCAAAATAGAAAAAAGACTATCATCCATATGTATAAAGAATGACACGTCTAAGAATTAATGTACAACCTGTATACTTATTTATTTCAAACTACACATTAAAGGTCAGAAATGATACATTAACAGGCAGAAATATGGAAAAATCAGTGACAGCCTTGCTTTCACAGCAATTCCTATGTAGGTGAAATTATATATGGGAGTTTTCTTCCCCAGCTGGCACTCAGATAGCCATGGTACACTGCAAGAACTGAAAAACAAAAGCAAATTTAATAACACTTGGGGGGCTTGCAGATTAGCATGGGAACAGATGAAAAGGGCAAACAGCAAGGTAACAAAAAACAGTAACAAGATCTCAATTCAATTTAGGTTGTTTCATAAACGGTAAAAAATAGTTGGATTACCACCATCCTATTCAGTTTTATGGAATGCATACATATAATCTTGAACAAATTTCATCAAAATTGATCAAAAATGTACTTGGCCCTAAAATTCTATTAAAGCAAAAAAATGTTGTTTCTGCTTTATCTTAAATACATCCATAATTTGTTCTTTATATATATCTTTGAAGGATGAAAACTTCACAGGATAACAATTTATGCCCATTACAGCTTACCTTACTTCTGTTCAAAGACAAAATTGAGAAAATATAAAGCAATGATCAAGAAAATCAATATTTACAACTATACATATGTCACCTAGTCACTAGTCTCTAGGCAGCTTGCAATTATAAAAGCAAAATACAAATCAATTAAAGCCCTCAAAATCTCCTCCACTGCTGTCTCCTGATGTGCACTATTTTCACACTTCCTAAATAAAATAAGGTGGGGGCCATTATGAATCTCTACATTTGTCCAGCATTACAGATTAATTTACATGGCATTATAGTAACAGCCTATAAAAATCATACAATAGAAGCACAGCCCCAAGCACTTACGTTGTCTTAGCTGAGACACTATTTGTGTACAAGCTAAAATGTATCTATCAAATTATGTCAAAAAGTAAAACAAATTCTGCAGTTTATGCAAAATAATCTTTCACAGAAAAAAAAAATTTTGCATAAACTATGCAAACCTTAGTCAAGACTATTTTGATTCAATGTCATGTTTCAACGTAAATTGTCTTCTACTGGCATTTCTATAACTGGTTTCCATAGGCTGATTTATTTGAGACAAGGTACCAAAATTTGCTAATCAAAGGTTAAAATTAAAAATTCAACTAAGTAATTACTTAACTTTTAAGGGCAGTTTTTCAAGTGTTCATCTAAGAATTCACATACATAAGTTACAGGCTTCCATACCGCCCTGTCTGACATTCTCTAGAGCTTACAGAAATATTTTGTAGGAACTGTGTAGCATATGTTTAAATGAGGACCCTGCTAAACCCCTTCAGTTTCTAAGACTAACATAGCAAATCCAAAAGAATGGGGGTTGGAGGGGAGAGGGGAGGGAGATTCATGTGGCCACCAGGGATAACACTGATGTGTGAATACCCCACTGAAAAAGTCGCTATCATGCTTCTGGAGTGAGTATGGGTCAGAAGGTGGGCATGGTTGTTTCACCAACATGTACCAGTGCAAGATAATAGCCACTAGCCATGAGGAGAAATGCTGGGAAGGCAGGCCATGTGCTTCGTGGATGGGCCTTGGAAAGCCAAGAATAGATCATGATCCTGGCAAAATGCAAGAGAACAATGCAAATCCAAAGAATGAAGGAGTGTTTCTAATAGAATAGAGGGGGTGGGGAAAAGGATAAGCAATATGTCTTGATTCAAATGGAAGGTTGAAACTGACTTCAGAAATAAAGATGTATCTGGGATAATGACTACTCTGTCTTATGAAAAATAGAGAAGGATCTCTTCAAAAGGAACTCAGTCCTCCAACTTGACAAGCTGCTGGAGAGTAGGAATGGGTAAGAACAAAGCCAGACACACACATGCAGCTAACAAGAGAAGACAGTCCTGTTTATTCCTATACAAATGTATTTACAATACTTGGTGTGCATATATATATATGAGTATATCTATCTACAGTGACCAAGCATAAATATACACTATGAATTCCTAGCTTAATCTACTATTAGAACTTAACTTTCTACTACTTTGCTTATAAGACACAAATGCTTTACTGCTAGTTTTTCCTCCTCCCACAGTGTCTCCAGCAGACTTAGGAATGCCAACAACTTCTCTCCTTAACACTTTCTTGCCCATTTCTCAGTGCCTGAACCACATGGAGTTTACTCTGCCACTGTCTAGAGTCCAGGGATGTGTTCTCTTTTTGCTGGCTCTTTTCTGCAGGTTCTTCTTTGGTTTCAGCTGCCTCAGGCTTCTTCCTGGTTCTTCTCCCTGACTGTGTATCCTCTGGCTTTTGGTTCTCCCAGCTGTTGCCTCCTCCACTCCATGCCTCGTCCAGTTGTCTCTCACTCCAGCAGTTTTGCCTGCCAAACCTAGAAGAACCACCCCCCCGCCCAACCATCCTTCTGTGGCTTCTTTTATAGTTCTTTCTTTTGAACCTACACGCCAGCTTGCAGGTGATTCTAAGGGGTTTTAAATCTTTTTCTTCCCTTTCTCTGCAAGTGCCTACATGCCAAAGCTGGGCAGCTGACGGATCACTACAGAGAAAAAACTGCGATCTTGACAGTCGTACATAACATTTTCTGTTTCAGTGCACTTCATCCTTCCACACAAGCCAAAGTCAGAGTGAGAAGACAGACTAGTTTTCATGAGATGGAAGTCGCTATAGGCTCAAAGACTTTTGATATTAACAAAGAGAACAAAAAAGAGCTCTATGCCCAAAGCAGTAGGCTTTTCATGAAGCTTTATCAGCAGGTTAGAGAAAAAAGGAGTACCACCCAATAAAAGAAAAAAAAGAGAGGCTGGCTACAAGGCACGATGAGTCAAAGTTTGTGAACCTTTTAGAACTATTCACAGTACTGTGACCAATGTGGTTAGAGCTTCATCTAAGGCCTATAACTAAATACAGTAGAGTCTCGCTTATCCGACATAAACGGGCCGGCAGAAGGTCGGATAAGCGAAAATGTTGGATAACACACAGTAACGATTGAG